GCTCTAACAATGGAGTCTGTTACACGAGCCTTCCTACTTTCTGCCACCCTTCGCGGCCTTCATCCCACTTTCGGTACCTGGTTCCTTCGTAGCTCACCTCGCCTCCCCCCAGCGAACCCTCATTCTTCGGTTTCCTTCAATTTCCGAGACAGGAAAGCCATGTCTGTGCAGCCACCCCTCCGGATCGGAAATTGGAAATAAATCGTGACGATATCGATGTAAAATGTAAAGGTGACCGTCATCCAACGTTGACGAGACCTTTGTACCGTGTCTTCGGCCGGCGGCCATGTTTATTCCGGCCTGGTTATGCACTAGAGATCTCCATTTCACGTGTTCGCGGGTACACGTGTATTTGCACGTGTAATAAACGAATTCTGATCTCAATCTATGTACTATCTTCCAACGACGTTTCGTAACATGTTCTTGGTTCTAAAGGACCAGTGCGGCAAGGGAATACGTTTATTCGCAATGAACTTTGACGCTTCGATTTCGACCGCTTTTGTTATTAGCTGCTTGGCGTAAACGAAGATCGCAAATGAAACAGAATACAACAAAGTGAGATAAATTAAATTCAATTTTACTTTGTCAAATGTAGTGCCAGTAAATTGTTCAGATTGTTTTGATCAAAATAAGTCTAAACACGATATAAATGGGATTAGTTTTATCGATTTTAAGGAAATGAACCTTTAGTTTTGTTAATTACATTAAGTCGGTAAAACTTGCAACGGTGAAAGATCTTTTTCAGTGCTTAAAAGAATAACATTTTATTTATGCTCTTTTTAAAAAATATAATTTTTCGAAAAATAAAAAATCCATCGTTGAAAAATTTACCACTATTTAGAGCCTTAATGTGACGTGTATACTTAACTATTACAGTCAGCAATGAAACAGACACAGATCTAAATTCGAAATGTCCACTTTTTCTGTTGCGCAATCTTTCTAATTCTTATCACATAACCAATTGACGAAATCTGTCACTTCAATCTAAATAGATATACAGAAATACTAGTCACTCGAGATATGATCGTCATTGGATGTTATTTTAATCAGCATCTTCACGAGAGTGTGCTCGTCAAAAATCTGAATCGTTAAGATAGTTTTTATCTTTATAAGTAATGAAATGTCATTCTGAAAGTAACACTATGCCTCTACTGTACACTGCATTAGCCCACAAATAAATGCATTATATAAACAACTTTTATAAAAATTAACCATATCTCTATATTTTCTATGTACATCATGAATATACTAGCCTCATTTTCATAATAAATAGTTAACCAGTTAACTGCGCTTGACGAGTATACACATCATTTTTTTATTTTATTACACGAGAAACGAGAGATTTTCGAAACTAAATTCCACAGTCAACGAGTTCAATAATTTCATCCACTAACGAATCTCCATTATAATATTAACACGTGAAATAAATAATAACTCAATGTAGTTTAAAAATAGTCTAAAATCAAAATTCACCCAAGGTTATATAAATCATCCGAAATTTTCTGCAAAACACGAACTTACATCGCTTTCACATGCTTCGTTAGCTATAATAAAAAAACTCGAAAACTCAATAAGCAACGATTGTTAACGCAAGTCTCGGGAACTGAAACGCCCGGGCGAAGGGGTGGAAACAGCTGGCGGGCAAGTAATTAAGTGATTACCGAAGGTACCGGGCGATTTTTCGTCATAGCCCGAGATTTAATTCGTTGATGTAGGCAGGAAGATAGGCGGTTGCATTGTCTGCAGGATGTTAAGAGGGTTACCGCGGGTGATAGGGGGGACGTCGGGCGGTGGGCGTGCAAGGGTGTCGGTGTAATGAAGAGCGACAGTGGCGCCCCAAACCATCGCTAATTTGCCGCTAAGTGCCCGGCTTTGTTTCCGTACGTTGATCCCATCGTTCGCAATATCCTGGATCTGAGGCGACGTTCTGCGCCGCTTAAGAGAGACGTCCAAATAACCCGCGGGACTATGCCCGCAATTGACTACGGGGACTAATTTCACCGGCCGGAAGGAGAAAAAAAAGGCTACCCGAGCGTCGTTTGAATGGAGACGCTGCGCCGGTTGATCGGGCAGCTCGACCGAAGGGAAAGGAGAAACGGGGAAAGAAATTTAACCCCCCGCCCCATAATTTATTGCACAATTGTGACCAACGCGACTAATTTATTGTTAATAATGTAAAAAAGAGGAACATTCTGGGCGTGTTCAGTACCCACGTTTGCTATGAAGCATAGTCATTGGTAACCAAGGAATAATATTTTATTTGTAAAAATTGAATGATATTCTTGTTATATTCTATTTAAAATCTTTGTCGCGAGTCTGATACTTTATTGTAGGGCAAGGGGTTAACTGGACTTTGTCGATGGTGTTAGGTTAACATATTTGCGAAGTAGTTGCGTAATTCTACATCGTTTTAACTCCTTGCCACACAATATATCGAGTAATAAGGGAGTAATCGAATGAAAATTAGAAGAATTAAATGTCATTCAATTATTTTGCGTTCAAAGTAAATAGGATAATCTGGGAAAGATATAAGATTATAAATGGCACTGATATCTAACAAAAAGAACCACATTTATAAAAGTAACTAAGAAGTGTAACTAGATAGGCATCTGTGCGATATTCGATATACCACTAAACACAATTGAAAATATAGAAATTCGACAAATTAAATGAGATCGAGCCATCTCACCCGAAATTACTACATACGTGTATCATGGTTTTTGGACATGGAAGTCGCATGGGGACCAGTATAGCTGACTATCGGTCAACATTCGTTGATAATTAAGCTGCAATGACTAAGATCAAGACTACACTCGTGTAAACAGTTGCATTGACATATACAGTTCATATTTTAACGGGAAAAACGCGACATGTAACGCGGTCCGTATGAAATTGGTCATCCAACGATATTTGTCTGAGTGAAAAAATAAATATTAGTTGCAATGTTTATTATAGATTTAAGGATTATTGGAGTATTTACATACACACCATGTTCGTAAGTACGAGGTCGACATTGCACGAGATTCTCTTTCGACAATGATGTCTAATCCGTAAAAGTGATTGACCCAAAAAAAATTTTGTGGAACTTTAAGGCTAATGGAAGTGAAGAATATTGGCCACATTTTTGTAGAATTTTCCATTTGGAAGATGGCGAATTTTCTTTCTGGGAAGCTTTTACGGTTGAATGAAAACGCACGTATTTTCCTTCCGACGAGAGTCCTTTTAAAGGAGGGACTTATTTTGCGCTAAATTCGCCGCGAGAGCGTATCACGCCTACAAAAAGGAGCAATTTCGAACGAGGTTTACTTTCGTAAGCAGATATAAATAGAATAAACAAGGAAATTTATGTTATAAAATTTAGCTCGCATCGCACCTACTTTCCATCCAGTCGCACTTATAAAATAAAACTGTATTGAGAAACAGATTAAGTTTCTTTCCTTAAAAATCTGAAATAAAAAGAATTCTCAATTGTATAGTATACCGGTGGTGGTTTACTATTAGATGATATTTGAAAATGTGGATCTTTAGTAAAAAGAGAATTAGGAAAACAATAATATATTTAATAAGATAAAGGAAACAATATGGACAACAACACGTAAAATACAACACACGACTCTCGCACCAAAAATGTTCTACTCCGCTGTCGCTCACCAAAATGTGTCCCTGCACGCATTTCCACTCGCTTTTATCACACACCCCCATTCGCTCTGTCTTTCTCACCCTTGCACCCTTCTCACTCGCATCTTTCGTCCATAGTCAAAACTCACGCAGTCACGTACACACTTTTCTCACGGTTCAGTCGCTCAGTTCCAGACACTCTTCCTCGCATTCTTTCAGCCACTCGAAATTGTCTAAACGCAGTCACCCTATTTCCCAAACATCCCGGCGCCGGCCCGTCGCAATATGACCTGGTCGCCCTTACGCACGCACGACAAACCATTCATCCTACAATAAATATTCTCGATACTACAATTGTATCGAAAGGATAAGTTGTTTACGTGAAGCATAGTCGCGAACCTCTCGTGAGAGTAGAATTTCTTTATCTTACCATTTTTATTGCAGCATAATCTTATATTGAGAAACAATATGAAGTCTGATGAAAACTAACAATTTGTAATTTGTTGTGATACTGTGATACAAGATAGTGCTCCCTTTTTTACGTAAACACTCATTACGGAAAAGAGAATTGTTCGTAAAAGATAAGATAGAAAATTCAATTTCTCAGGGATCTTAAGTGAATTTAATAATATGTGATGAACACCCTGTATTTGATACATATAAGAAGACGGTAATGAGATAAACGTGCTTTTCCTTGGAATTGCTTAACTCTTAAAATGTACAAATATTTATAGTTTACTTCTGCAAGTCATTATATTGCCAACAGATTTTTATCGGTTTTACACGACACGTGGTGCGAGATGAAAACGGAGTACAAGTCAAACAAGAAGAAATGAATTATATAACTTCAAAAATGCGGAATAACACACACGGAATAGTACACGTGACTACTAATTACCTCTTAATTACCTACCCCAAAAGGCACCAGGTATAGATGACTTAATAGAAATTCAAACAAATTTAGAAGATATAGAAAAAGGAAAAGAAATAATGACGAAATAGATAGATTATTTGTTGAATACTTAAAACTATCAAATGAATGAAATATAATATTATTACATTATATAATAATGCATGAAGATTACTTCCTCTTCGTTATTCGACCTTCAAACTGACAATATTTCCGCCATTATCACGCTATTCGCCATTACAACAATACAATAATTAATCCATACTGAAAACAAAACACAACGAAAGTTCTCTCTTGCTCCTGCGGGTGCCAATATTTCGTTAAATCGTACGCCAGGCGTATAAGATCGTCAATTTAATGTGCTACAATAACGCAACTCAGCGACTCGTGGAGGGCCTCAACAATCTCTCTGACAAATTTCAAACAATCAGCTGTAGAATGACTAGCAATATAAATGTGCAAGCTCATTTGAGATAACGCCCGTTCGAGAGTAAAGTGAAAATTACGACACCGAGCACACGAGGACCTCAGTCTACGCAGTGCTCAAGTTCCAGCAACATCGCTCCGGAGGCAATTTCTTAATCGCGCCAAGATGGATAACTTTACGCTGTTACTTTCGTTGGCGGCGGTTTTAACAGCGATCTACTACTACGTCTTCAAGAATCTGAGCTACTTCAAAAGGAACAAGATCCTGCATAAACCCCCGGTGCCATTCTTCGGAAATATGGTACCATTTCTACTCAGAAGAAAGACGATGGTGGACACGTTGCAAGAAATCTACGACTTGAACGGCGACGCTAAGTACGTCGGTTTCTACGAGTTCACCACGCCGATCATCCTCCTTCGGGACGCGGACCTCATCAAGTCGATCACCATAAAGAACTTCACTTCGTTCACTAACCATCAAGCGATCGTTGAGAAGGATCTCGAACCGGTGCTGGGCAACATGCTGTTCACCCTGCCCGGCGAGAAGTGGAAGGACATGAGAGTCCAGCTGACGCCGACCTTCACCTCCAGCAAGATCAAGATGATGTTCATGCTGATGTCGCACGTCGCGGTGAATTTCTCTCACTACCTCGCCAACCTGCCGGAGAAGGAACGAGAACTAGAGCTGAAAGAGGTGCTCACGAAGTATACCAGTGACGTGATCGCCAGTTGCGTGTTCGGGATCAACGTGGACACCATCAAGGACCCCAAGAACCCGATTTACGTGAAGGGCAAGAAGGCCACCGATTTCAATGGGTTCGAAACCAGCATGAAGTTCATGCTGCAAAAGAACTTACCTTGGATAGCGAAGCTGTTCTCCATTACAGTGTTGGACCATGGGATCCAGGGCTATTTCACGGACACGATAAGGAACACCGTGAAACAAAGGCTGGAGCAAGGTATCCATAGGCCGGACATGCTTCAGAATATGATAGACATGAGTAAGAACAACAAGTCCGAGAAGCCGCTGACTATGGAGGATATAGTCTGCAACGCCTTCAGCTTCTTCTTCGGCGGTTACAACTCGGTAGCCTCGCAAGCTTGCTCGATCATTCATGACCTGGTGGAGCATCCGGATATCCAGAAGAGGCTGCAGGAGGAGATCGACGAGGTGCTCGAGAACACGCAGGGCAAGGTCACCTACGACGCTATAATAAACATGGAGTACATGGACGCGGTGATGAACGAGTCGATGAGGGTGCACCCGTCGCCCATCTTCATAGACCGGAAATGCAGCAAGGACTTCGAGCTGCCGCCAGCGTTGCCAGGCGGTGAACCGGTCACCGTGAAAGCTGGAACGATCTTCTGGGTGGCGGTTCACTCGATTCATCACGATCCGAGGTACTTCGAAAACCCGCATCACTTCGATCCTGAACGATTCCTCCAAGATGGCAAGAGGATCATGAATTCCGGCGCCTTTGTGCCGTTCGGGCTGGGACCGAGGATGTGTATTGGCACCAGGTTTGCGCTGACGGAGATCAAGGTACTGCTGTTCTATATTTTCGCTCGTTCCAACGCGAAGGCTTGCTCGAAGACAACTATACCGTTGGAGCTGTCGAAGGTCACGACGTTCATTAATACCGCCAGCAAAGGGTTCTGGGTAAAGATGGAACCGCGAAAGAATTGTAGTCAATTTGTCGACTGTTTGGCGAGCAATGGGATACATCAGGAATGAATTGATGCGAACCGTGAATTATGGCGACGTTACTTTTGAGATTCGTATATAAATATTATAATTAATGTTACTATTGTGTATCAATGGAGTGTAAGTATCGAAATTATGTAATATCCTGCGAATTTGTTGGAAAAATGTACTTCTGCTTGATCGAATAAATTGTTCAAATGAATAGTGAGGATAGTTGTAACATGTAATTGGATAGTTATAATATGTAAATACATGATTAATGTGAATTTTTATATTATATACATTTTATTATTATTAAATTATATTTGGTACAGAGAATGCAACAGTTTATCGTTGTTATCACTATGTGTACGTATCAATCTCTGCTACACTGATAATATTGTGCAACATGTGCCTGTAGTATCAGCAGTTAGTGATGTAAGTTTGAATCTCATAACTGATTAATAGACAGTGTATACACATACTTCAATTAATGGTAATTTATAATTCGTAATCACCAGAAATTTAGCTTGTAGAGTAATGTTAACATTAATACATTAAGGTAATTAAACTGAAAATAATAGGAATATTAATTCATGATTATTTTAGACAGAATAAAATAAAAAATCAAGATAATTAAATGACATATCTCAATTAGTTACAACATGTAAAATGTGTTCTTTTATTAAAAATGTTTGCTTATTAGAATACAAAAAATTAATAATATTAAATCTCATATAAAAGTAATAATACTTCTCCGTAGACTCCTCATATTAATTTTATTGTTTATATTTACACAGAACTTTTAACGCAATAAAACATAAAATACATTCCAAACTATAGCAAATATAATAAATAGAAATGTTTTTGATCTTTTACATTTCTTCATAGTGCAGCCTTTCAAAGGTTAACCCTTTTCACTCGAAAAATGCTTTGATACAGCAAAATTGTAACATTTAATATTTAATATAAAGTTTTACATAATGCATTACTATGTGAAATATTAAAATCAAATTGTTTCTTAATTTATGTGTGATTTCTTGGTAAGTTAATTTTAAAAACTGTTATTTCTATCTCGTCATAAAATATTGAATATTTCTAATAAAAAACTTTGGAGTAAAAAAGGTTAAGGGTTAATTCCAATGCAATTAGGTGCATATAGCAAAGAATCTGACACTTTTATGTAATGACCGACGAAAGTACAAATTTCTTGAAAAATCTGACCCGTGGAGGAAAAGCAAATAGATAGTAAGATCCACTTTCCCTTCCAGCCTTCTGTTCACACCTCTTTCCATTAACACGACAAGACAATACACAGCAAGGATCTACCCTCGCGATCTTCAGTTCATTAATTCTGACCAAAACCCGCTCTCCCTGTGCCTCCTTCGATCGCCAGCCTACGAGCAACCACTCGAGCAACCCTTACCGGTGGCGGTGAGTGAATTACATTAGAGAGGGGGGCGGTTTTATCGGGTCAACTTGCCAGATATTTCCTAGGGCACCTAAGGGTTGTTCGCTCGGAAAAAGGGGACTTTTTTCACAACGTCGAGAGAATGTTCAAAGACAATCTGCATCTGCACAGATTGCTTTCGTTGTCTGGAAGCGAGTTCGGGATGCTGGAAGTTCGAAATATGAATTTACTTAATCAATGTTTCTATATTTAGTAGGAATTTCTTTTTTTTATTATAAGTAATCGATTTCCAGGCATTTGTTGCTTTTACATGACACGATCTGGTATCTCATTGATCTGAAAAATTTATTCTAGTTTACATAATTTTTAATTGGATACCGACAAAGGATAATTACAGCATTCACGTCATTTTTCATCACAATGAAAATGAATGCCACAGCATTCACATCCGCGAACGTATTAAACGCCAATTTCAACAACTTACAGGACTATTCGCCAACCAATAGCTTCTCGCATCCACCGCGTGTCTCGCATGAAAGTATTTTGTTTACGTTCGCTCCGTGATCCTTTGGGCAGATTATAGTCAAGGTTGATTCAAAGCAGTCGCGATCTTCAAAAGCGAAGCGAACATCGCGATTCTTGGCCCGTAATCGTCTTTGCGGCTACATCGCGATACCCTCAGACGAGTGGGTCGCCGGATATCTGGGTCAATTGCTTGAAAGCGCGTTCACCGAGGCGATTGCGTCCTGTTATTCAGGGGAAACTGATTCGTCACACGGTCGTCGTTCGCGAGGCGCTATTGGAACGGCGCTGCTCGCGGAGCCGCTTGCTCATTAAGGCAACATTCACAAGGTCGTATCGCGTCTTTGACACCGGCCGATCACGTACCGGAATACATTATACGGCTGTTATACATCGCGCAACGCCGCGCGGTACGTGCCGGTCATGTAGAGGAGCCCCGATCCATTCAGGAGATTGTAATTGAGATGGACGCGTAACAGGCGTCCATTACCGCCGTCGGAACTCGGGAAATGGTAATTCTTTTTACTCGCCCCCAATTTCAGTTTCGCCTCCTTTTTCCCCCTTTTTTCGTTTCCATCATAGCCCTCCGGTGCGGTTTACGCTGAACGATCGCGTCGGCGCGCGGCGACTTTTCAGCAGCCCAGACTTAACCCCTTGCTGTACGATTTATTTCTTAACCCCTCGCTCTACGATTTACTTCTGCGCTGTGATCGATACAACTGCTTTACCATTAGTCATTTATTGAAGAAACGGACAATAATTATTGATAATAGAAGAATGATATTTAATTTGATTTACAATTCTTGACACGTTGTAAGGTAAGGAGTTAACTATGGTCGACACGTCGAAGTTCAGTTGTTAGAGTTGCAGTTAAAATTGTTAATGATTGTCAGTTGAGTCGACCGTTATTATTTTATATTAAAAGTAGCTATTGTTTCAAATTCTGTGAACTGTGATCGATATATCTACCTTATTGTTAATAATTTATTAAGAGAAAAAGAAATTTTGATGCTTATTCCTCAAGGATTCATGGCAGAACAGTAACATTTAATATATATTTAAACAAAATAAATAACACTTAGATTCGTCAAATTCGATTGAAAATTTTCGTCTCGAGCCTGATAAGATGTAAGTCAAAAGTTTCAGATCTGTTAAATCTCTATACATATGGGCATACTGTGAAGTATATTCGAAATATAAAAAAAGGCCTGATTAGAGACTGTCAATTATAAGTTCGGAAACCGAAGTCAAGATACAGGAAACAAATTATAATGACAATTGTAGTAAGTGAATTATGAAAGGCTACGTGAAAGAATAATACAAAACATTAGTATAATATTTCTTCATATAAAGTCTCGTTTTCGAGAAAATCGATTTTAAAGTTTGAACAGCTGAATATAATTTAACGGTCGTTATTTCAACCGGTTATCTTTATACGAGCTGCTATCGATAAACATCAACAGTCATATGATTAAATTAATACTTTCTAGAGCTTTCGCTCAGACCAGAATAATATTAAATATCTGTATGGAAATTTACCAAGAGGAATACCACTTATTACTAAAGTTTCCAAAAATTGTGTAATTTTACTGCATTTTAGTACTTTTCTTACTTTATATTCAACATACATTATCATTCTGTCCACACTAAATATCAATTCTTATATAAATAAATGGATTGAACGAGTTATTTAATTCTTAATATATTACATTAAAGTTAGTACTTTATTCTGTTGTATATTCCACTTCCTACGTGTATATGTGTACAAATGAGTATTCATTGCCAAAAACCTCGAGCGGCTTTATTACTTTGACCACCAGTGTATAATTTCTCTTTATCTTGGCAAGTGTTCGCATGAACGATGTTAGTAAGAAATGAATTCTAGGAATTGTGCGTAGGAAGATAATTGTTAACGGCTGCGATAATAACATGGAATTAATCTATGGTAAACAGAACGAACGTATCTTCGTATTTTAAAGCATGTACGAATAACAAGTGAAACTCAACTTTGTTTTGTATCAAAACAACTTGATTAGTTATGCAGTAACCTTTATTTTCATAAACGTTTTGAAATAATAGGTATAAATAATGAAGAGTTCTTAAGATTATAAGGGACTGTTTGATTACTTGCTTTACTAGAAATGAATCACTTTCTTCATAAAGCTAATCATATAATTTATAGTTATATCTAAAATCGTTCTTCGTAAAAGTTTTCTTATTCGAGTAGGTAACATTAAAGCACCTACGTTTATCACAACAACTACTAATTAACACTATCAATCAGCGTGGCGGTTACTTAAGTAGTTTACAAAAGTCAACAACAAACGTTTGTTAACAACAAACGATTTCTCAATACATCTGTCAATGACAATGACAATTATAAGCATTCGTCAACGAGTCTTATTTATATAAACTAATATTTCTCTCAGGCTTATAATTTGAAAGAAAATTATTTTTACAAGTCTTCAGTAGGTAAAGCGTAAAGAGCTATCTTGCAATGTTATTAAAAAATTACACGAGTGTGTTTAATACTTTTCCTGATTTACATTTCACCATGTGCATGGAACGCTATCACCTGCATGATATAAACAATCATGTGATCATAAGTGAATTATTACAGAAATAAGAAATCGTTATCTAGAAATACGTTCCAAAGTTACAGTTAACATCTAACACTACCATTCGACGTAGAACTGACAAGCACGTGGTTGACAGTCTTCCTCGGTACGACATCGAACCAAAATCCACCTTCGGCTGACATTTGGAACCCCTTCTTGCTCAACTTCATCGGTATAGGTGTCCTCTCGTTAGGCTTGAAGTCACACCGAGCGAACACGTTGAACAGCAAGGCCTTGGTCTCCAGAAGCGCGAACCTGTTGCCGATGCACATCCTCGGACCCATGCCGAAGCTCAAAAATATCGGAGAGTTCAGGATCTTCTTCGAATCGTCGAGGAACCGGTCCGGATTGAACTTCGTCGGCTCCTCGTAGTACTGAGGATCCAACTGCACCCCGTAAATCGGTATCGCGAGGTATTCGCCCTTCTTGACCAGATGCGGTTTCCCCCCTGGCAGTGCCGGCGGCAGCTCGAAAGGTTTCGTGCAAACTCTGTCCACAAAAGCGGCCACCGGGTACTTCCTCAGAGCTTCGCTTATAATAGCGTCCAGATACTTCATGTCATTGATAGCTTCGTAAGACACCTTTCCATTATTACTCTGCAGCACCTCGTCGATCTCCTCCTGCAGCCTCCGTTGAATGTCCGGATTCACTCCGATCTCGTAAGCAGCGAAGCACATGAGGGTCGAACTGCTCTCGAACCCACCGGCGAAGAAGATGAACGCCTGCGCGGTCATGTCCTCGATCGTCAGTTCCTTGCCCGGCCCTAACTTCCCTCTAGTCTCCATCATCAACTGAAGCATGTCCGGTCGGACGATGCCCTGCTCGTCTCTGGTTTTAATGGTGGACGACACCAAGTCGTAGAAGAAGTCGGATATCTTTCTGCTGGTCAGCCTTATGCCGAGCGCATTGGTTAGGAAAGGTAGACCGCGTATCATGAAGAACTTCAACGTCCGCCAAATGCCGAAGGTCATGGCTTTCCTGCCGTATACGTAGAACTTGTTGGTGCGGTGTGTCATGGAGTCTACGGTCAGCCCGAACGCGCAAGTGGCGATCACGTCGTTCGTATACCTGGCGAACGCGTCCTTCAGCTCTACGGACCTCTTCTCCGCGGGCAACGTGACCAGAATCTCCCCGTACCGTACCGCGCAGTCGTGCATCAAATGGTACATCGCTTTCATCTTGCTGGACGTGAAGGCTGGGCTCAGCATGTTCCTCATTTCTTTCCATTGGTCTCCCCGTAGGGAGAATAGGTTCTTGGTGAACAACGGCTCCGATACGTCCGGCGGTGAGCGGTGATCTTGGAAGTGGTCGAAGTTCTTCACCGTGATGGACTTTATCAGGTCCAGGTCGCGGATCATGATCGTCGGCGTGAGGAAGTCGAAGTACCCCATGTATTTCGCTTCGGGGTAGGTGTTGTAAAGTTCTTGAATCGTCTCGGCGAAGGAGGATTTTTGCATGAATACCTTCCACGAGTTGCCGAGAATTGGCAACGTCTGCGCCACCGGAATTCCGGTGTCTTTGAAGAAACTGTGCACACTTTTCAGGTAATAATAGGCCGCCACCGCGCCTGCGGCGAGCAGGGCCACGGTTATGGTCCACGCGTCAATCATGGCGGTTGCGTCGATTCACTGAACCGTCGTAGACAATGAAGGAACGAGTTAGATGATCTTGATGTTGGATGGAACGTAGCCTTGGCAATGGACTAGAGGATGCTGCCAGTCTGGTTGTTGCAAACTCCCACGTTATACTGATATGATTCATCCACACCGCTGTTCTTTTATCGCGTTTGAGCCCGAGAAGTGCGTTAGTTAGTATGTGTCGCCTCGCGACCTCACAGCGCAGCATTCGGCTTGTATTATCCGTCTTGAGATAATGGAGTAAATTGGAGTAACAAGCCATATACAGAAATATTACATTCAAACCAATCAACGACCAGTGCTGCGAATGTCAAAGTGGGGATGCCGAACACACGAGCGATGTTCTATAAAGTCGTGGGGCCATCCGTAGAAAGTGTCGCACTGTTGCGCGGTGAACTGCGATAAACGAACGTCCTAGATGCACTGCGTCTGTAAGAAGTCACAGTACAAGCAAAAATCACCAAAACAATGTACTTTACCTGAATGTACCTTAATTCAGAATAATTAAAATGTAAACGTGTTGTCAGTTGACTAATTCATAATGAGATGATATTCTTTTTTACAGATCTTTTAGACTTGGCTCGTAGAAAATGGATCAACGTAAGTCATTTTTCGTGAACATAATTACCCTTACAGAAATACGCTTTCGCATTGATTTATTTTTTAAAATTCTCATTGCTTGGAAAAAATACAGAAGATGAAGTGAATATTTCGTTATCGAAATTCAGTACTAATTTTTAAAACACTTGTCAGTCGATCGTTTTTCGAGCAAATTTGTAAAACAAGATCGTCAATGCTGAAAAATGAAATATAGTTTATAACGTATTTAAAATTTATATTCCCGTTAATCCGATTGCCTCGGTATCATATACACCGTTTAACCATTCCGATGAAAACATATTCTGCGTAAAAATTATGCAACCAGAATAACACGATTTTTCAGCGCACCGAACAACATTTATACAGTCAAATGAAATAAAAAGCTCGCATAAATCGCGTATTTGCATTTTTCGTGACTCTCAGTAAAAGATAGCTTACAGCTGTACCCTATTGTAGCTTAACTTCTTCAAAACGAAAAATCACGAAGGTACCATTTTTACCTATACGTTCAGATATTAAATGAATTTGTATTTTTATTTATTTTACCTTCACTCCGATAAAAATCGAGTAATTTTATTCGCGACGATGAAGATATACCCTTTCCCGTTATGCAAATTGTATTTCGCAACAACGAGGTGTGTTCTGCGACGGTAAGTACCAAAAACAAGAGGATCCGACGCAATCTCGTGATTGGACACAGACGAGAGGCGGTCTAGAGACGTCGAAACACATCAAAGGCAAGGATCCTGTATTATTGTTCCCATATCCCGTGCACACTGTCAAGGCAACTTCGAAATCTGACTATGCGCAACGTTATCCCGTGTTCATCCGGCTCATTTGTGCCATCGTAGATCAGTAGATGTCCACCTTGGAATACGTGCCTGCATCAAGCCGGCAGAGATTACGCGTTGTGTTTAGAATATGCTGTTAAGGATCTAAGGCCTGAACTCTTACTCGCCGCGACAATATTATAGGTATTCCCAACGAGAGTTCTGTTTGTCTGAATTCCGAGGATTTGGATGACGGGTGTTGATGTTGCAACCAGTTCCGGAACAATCCACTTATCGCCGGAGATAGCAATACCAATTTCATACACGGAATGTCTCAGAATGAGCGACACGAGGTAGGAAGTGATTACATATGCCAAAATCAGTTGAAAATGTAGAATACACTTTTGTCGTTTGGTTTCCGAGAAAATCGAAGTTGCAAATTTACTTCTGCAATATACATGTTGATTCGATCATTAAATTATGTGTAAGTTATGTAATTATTACTATTTATAGATCAGTGTTGCTTACGACTAGACTGCAAATTTTTATGTATTTGCAGTTCTAGAGATCTTTAAAAACAATTCGTGAGAAATACGACTGGAAACCAAATTTTATTAAATTCTTGTTGTTCAACATGTTTTTGTAAAAACACGAACATTTTTCACTGTTCCAGCAAACTAATAATAATCAAAAGATATCGTGCGTAACTGTATTTATTTATATTAGAAGAATATACAATAATAATTGAAAAATATGAAACAACACTGAATAATATACTGTTCATTTTATTGGAAAATATACGTTATTAAATTCAAATATTAGTTATATTATGAAGGAAAAAAATAGGCATTAAGAAACAGCAATATAATAACTGATTCAACTTTAACTTTTGTTTGCTGGGGTTTCCCAACACGAGTAGGCACGATGACAAAGTAAATGACCGTGGAATAATTTTGTCAGATATTTTTCTAAAAATTCATTTATCTAATTGCCATCATAACATTCCTGCATTCTGTATTATTTTCTTTCAACCGATTGACCCACAATATCCTGTCAGACTCGTGACGAAAATTCTAAACTGCGTCCGACAAATATGCCCGTTATTATTTTCTAAAAATATAAATTAAACATTACATTTATATTATCAATCGTTAACCTTTCGAGTAAACATAGACACAATAATCATCGAAATTCCGTCTCCTGATAAATAATTCACGATAAAGTACTCGACCACAGTTAATAAGTAAATCACAGGGAAAAGGGTTAATTTAGAAACGAAACTTTCCGGTGGACCTAATACTTTTCTCGGCCAGTGTAAGCTGTTTTTCGGAACATCGCAATCGTGCATTCGGTTGCAGAGGAAGTAAGGTATATACCAGTCCGGGAGCTT